AGCTTGTTTCTTACTTAAATAAAGCACTCAGATAAAGAAAGGAGAAAAATATTTTTCTCTTTTGCAGACAACAAGTTTGTCTGGCTAGAAACTCTGACAGAATCAGCAAGAAAACATCTTGAAGGGATACGTGGCCATATCAAAGCTACAAAGTTTAAAGATTCATATCTAAAAAGCAGTCTCCTCCATCTGTGTACACATGCAATAATAAATGATAACATAAATGCTATTAACCCCAAAATAAGTATTCAGATAAAAACCTAAACATTTGCCCAGGATATGTGGAAAAGCAAAACACTTTGACGAAAAGAATCAGAGACCACTGCTTCATGTTCACATAGACAGAAGACTCAACATTGTGAGGAGAAGCATCAGCCTATGAAAGAGTTCGAGGAAAGGACTTCATGTTCACATAGATAGAAGACTCAACATTACGAAGATGCCAGCTCTTCCACACTTGCTATGTAGACTCATTATAAAAAATTCCACCTCTGTGATGCTTAGAATAAGAATGGTCCCATAAGTGCCTGTATTTGAAAGCTTGGTTCCCAATTGGCACAAGTATATGGGAAGGACTAGGAGGTATGAATTTGTTGAAAGAGATGAGTCATTGAGGGTGGGCTTGGAAGTTTCAAAAGGAATACAATTCCCAGGGTGCCACTTCCCTCTGCCTCTTGCTTGTCCATCAGATGTAAGCTCTCAGCTACTAATTCAGCACCGTGCTTGCTTGCCTACTGCCCTACTCCCCGCTGTGATGGTCATGGACCCACCATCCAAAAACGTAAGCCTCAATAAACTGTTTCTCTGTAAGTTGCCTTGCTCATGGTGTCTCTTCACAGCAATACAAAAGTAACTAAGACAGAAGTCGGTTGCAGGAGTGTGGTATTACTGCCAGAGACCTGACCATGCTGGTTTTTGGAGGACTGTAGATGACTTTGGAGATTTGGACTAGGAATGTGGCTGAAAGCTGTAAACAAGGCTTTAAGGGAAGTCCTAGTAGGAGGTTTGAAGACAGTAGTGTTGAGAGCCATGTAGACTACAGAAGTCCAGGTCAAGAGACTCTGGAGGGGAGTGACTTTAGCTTCCAGGCTAGAGACGGTTCTGGTGAGTTTGGCAAAACCATGCGTACTTTCTTTCTGAGTACAAGAGTCTTCGTGAAGCTAAATGATAACGCTTTGGAGTAATATCACAGATTTTACCAGACCGAGAAGATTTCAAGACAGTTTAATATTGACTCTGTTGTGTGGTTCTTAGGGATCACTGTTATTCAGAAATATAATGAAAAAGGGCGAGGAGAGAAAAAAGAAATACAAATGTAGAATTTAAGGAGGAAAAGAGAACAAGAAATTTAATCTTGGAGGCTTAGTTGGTGCTAAAAAAGATAAGGAATACAGGGATGGTACACTCAGGACAAGCCCACACCCAGCTAATTCTGTACCTTGAGAGAAAGTCCTGATGAATGAAGTGTCCCTAAAGAACAATAAGAAATCAAATTCATGCCAATTAAACTCAAGAAGGTTCCGGTGCCAGATTACATGCTAAGCAGGCAGCATAACATGGCAACTCTGGCCATGTGTTTCTGGCATCAGAGTCATGAAGACAACATGAGTAGAGGGGTTTTGAACCCATGCTCTGTGGTGAAGGAAAGCTGCTGAGGCCAGGCGTATTTCAGGGTGTCCCTGCAAGGAGGCCTAGAGAGGCATTATGTGAAGATGTGAAGGTGAAGCCTGGATTTCACTGGAGACCCAAGATGCTGGAGATGCCGGAGCCTCAGGACACCTGCGAATGAGAGTTGCCAACAGGGAGTGGAGCAGCCCACGAGACAGGAGTCTGTGGCCATCAACAGAGTTGAAGGGGGTGGGAGAGCTGAAGAGCCCTTTGACATCAGGCGTCTCGGAGATGCAGAGTTTGGAGTTGGCCCTGCTGGGGTTTGCACTTGCTTTGGAACAGTTTCCACACTATAACCTCTTTTCTCCCTTTTGGGTTGGGAATGGGTATTCTGTGACATTGAATGTTGAAACATGTAGTTTGAGTGTTGCTTTTATGAGAGAGTGCCTCAAGACTCAAAAGAGATTTTGGCCTTTGATCAGTGTTGAGACTGTGGAAGACTATGGAGACTTTTGACGTTTGACTGACTGAACCTTGCTTTATGAAACCACAACAAGCCTATGGAGGCCCAGAGAATGGAAAGGGTGGTTTAAATAAACCCCACAGACCTCATATATTTGAGTCCCTGATCTCCAGTTGGTGGAACTGTGTGGGAAGGATTAAGAGGTAAGGACTTTTGGAGAAGGCATGTCACTGGAGGAGGCTTGGAGGTTTCAAAGTGAACAGAGCATGGACAAGCATCTCTCTGCAGTAGGGGAGGGACAGAACAGGGACAACACTATTTCTCACAGAGCGTGCAGGTGGAGGGAGAGACTCAAAAGGCTGTGGAGGATGGAGATCTGTGAAGGCTGGAGGATGGGGGTGATTGTTTCCTCACCCCTTCATACAACCCCGCCCCAACACCCAGCACCCCTTTGTGACAGGGAGATGGGAGCTCTGTGATGCTGGCCAGGCTCACCTGCCCTCTCCCACAGAAACCTCTCAGAGTTCAGTTGCCTGAGAGCAACAGTGCGATTCAGATGGAGAATTTTCTCTCTCTTCTGGAAAGCGTTGAATCTTCATCGCTGAGCCCCAGCTTCACCACTTGGGCAATGGACGTGATCTTTGCCTTTGTGTGTGGGCTGGGGCTCTTCCACCTCTTATTACCCCTCCTGCCCCTTAACTCAGCCTCACCCCCACCAGCGGAAAACACGACCTCTCAAAAGGTAAGAATGCCTTGGCCTCGAACCAACGGAGAATAGTTCCCCCTCTCTCCTTTCATAGGCTCCACTTTCCAAATCAAATAGAGGGGTGGCTGACTGGATCTCAGCTGAGAGCAGAATCCCAGTCTCTTGAGAAGCAGCAGGTAGGGCAGAGGCCTGCGCGGGCTCTAAGCTGTCTGCTCTCTCACCATGCATACCTGGGAGAAGCCCTTTGTCTCTGTGGTCAGGGCTGGTGATCCTAAGACAGTTAGGGACCTATGACAAAGGAAAGGTTCTGAGCACTGTTTCCTATGACCCCTCTAATATACATGCTAATAGGGTCATTGGATCTGTATGAGGGGGCTATGATCCAGGACATGAGTGACTTCTGAACTCAGAAATGGCTGTTGTTAGTTCAGAGTTAAGCATCTAATTCCTGAGCACAACAGTGACCAATAACATCATGATGACTATCACAGAGAGAGTCCCCACTGGTGTTTTCCGAGAGGAAGAAAACACAAGTTTGCCCACATTGTAGATAAGTGAACGGGGCTACAGGTGCTGTCTGTCTCTGTCAGGTGGTGAAGAGAGAACGCAGCAAGGTCAGGAAGAAAACCAGGACCCTGAGAGGTAGGCTACTTCCTTCCCTGTTAGGTGACTTCACCCCAATTCCCTCCCCCACCTCCCAGTGATGATATCAAATGAGTTGCAGAACCCTCAAGGATGCTGCTCCGTCAAAGGAACCAGGAATTGAAGACACTTCCCAGGTTCTGTGTTCGGAATGGATCTATGCTACAGCCAAGACTGGGAGCTGCCTGGGATGATGGTGCGAGAGGAAGTGGTACCATTTGCCTGGATTTGCAGGCAAAAGGGTTGTTAAGCTTCTCTGAGACATTTTCCTCTTTCAGAACACTGGTCCATCCCTCCCCTCCACAAAGAGATCATGAAACCCATGCAGGTTCTTAGAAGCTGAAGTGTCTGATCCATGCCAGAGTTCTGCCTTGCTCTCGAGGCATTTGGGCATGCAGCCTAGCTCAAGGATGCCTGAGCTCCTGTTTAACTTTCCATTTCTCCTGAAGGGACATTTCATTCAGTCTTTGGTAAGATACCATAACCCATTCTCCATTTCCAGCTTACAGAGGCAGCAGGAAGAAACCCAAGGAGGACAAGGTACTGGTTTCACTCCTGCACAGGTGAGCCCTCTCCATTCCTTATGGCCCCTCAGTCCTCTTTCCTGTTCTGTGATCACCCCCGGATCAGAGCTTAAGGTTATCAAGGGAATAGGGACCTCTTGATGGGTGGGACATGAGTACAGCCTGGAGTTTAATATAACAGGAGTTATCTTGTAAAAAGCAGAGTGTGGGACAGTGGTTATGATGATATATGAGGGTCCCTCCTTACTTAGACTGCTCAGACTCGTGACCCCATGGGCTCCTGGCTAAAATAATATCTCCTGTCTGCCACAGCATGCTAGGGAGGCTTGTCAATGCCATCAGCTTCTGCCAGCTCATAAGACAAGATGCCTCAGGAGAAGCGTCCAAGCCAGAAGCTGCCAAAGCTCATCTGTCACCTATACAGTCAACAGAGGAATCCGTGGCCACCAATTTGTCCCTTGTGGCTTCCTCAGCTCCTCTCAAGGAACACCTGCTGCCCAAACATTCTGAAATAGTGTCACCTGTCCTGATGAATTCCTCCTGTAAGGAGTCACAGTCATCCATGAGTGACTTTCAGCCACCAGAGACCTTGACACCTGGAAGACACCATTCACCACCACCACCACCACCACCACCACCACCACCACCACCACCACCACCACCACCACCACCCACACCTTCCCTCCCATCTCATCCTCCTGATCCTGTGGTTTGTCCTCCATCCCCCAGCATGACATCTCCTCAGTGTGAGTGGAAAGCACCATGGAACAAACAGAGCAAACCTCTCCTAGGTTTCCCTACTCCTGTCCCAACAACCTTAGGCCGTGACCAGTCAAGGAAGCCTAACTTAACCCTTCCAGCATTTGATGACTGTAGCAGGCCTACCTCTACCCCTACCGGCCTTGACCACTCAAAGAGGTCTATCTCAACAAACCCAGGCCTTGAACAACCAAAAAAGTTTGTCTCAATAATCCCAGGCCTTGACTATTCTGGCAGGGCTACACCAACCACCCTATGCCTTGACACCACACTCAGGCCCATGTCAAGCACTCCAGGCATGGATCCCTTTAGTACTTCTACTTCAACCAAGCCAGGCCTTGACCAAACAAGCACACCTATGTTAGGCCCTTCCTGGTATCAGGTAGCTGCCAAGACCTGGTGCAACTCTAACTCATCACATGGTGAATCCTTGCAAGACCATCTTTCCCTCATCTTCCAAGAGGCCTCCTTCTGGACAAGCCCGACATCCAGGTCGATAGAGGCTAGGGAGCCCTCTTTCATCAACCCTAATATCCAAAATATGCTGGAACTTCAGATTACAAAGAGGGTAGAGCTCAGAGGGAAAGGAAAAGAAATATCTGACCATGCCTTGGGCCGCCAGGACAGAATGCTGCAGTCCTGGAGCAGCAGGCAGGCCACCACCACCTCACACCCCTTCTGGAGCAGAGACTGCAAATCAGAGCAGTTTTCCGGTTATCAGCAGTTATTCTGTCAGAAGGTCTCAGGCGACCATTCACAGATGAAATACAGCCAGCTTTTCTGGGGCCTCCCCTTTCTCCACAGTGAGTCCCTTGTGGCCACTATTAACATGGCACGGTCCCTGCAAGATGTCCCCTCCATCTTCTTCAATGTATTCTCTACATATATTCCATTAGAAGCCCAAACTAACTTACCTCCACAGCTCTTCTCTCCAAAGCCCGTACTTCATCACTCCATCAAATCCCAAACTTTTACTTCGAAGATGTCCTCGACCGGAGCTCCACCAGTGGCCACAACCCAAAATCAGGCCCGTGACTTATACTCTCTACCAAATCTGCCACACCATTACCCTATAATTAAGGATTATGGGGTTTCTTCTGCTACATCGTCAAGAAATCAATTCATTGTCCCACTTGCTGTTCAGCACCTAGAGCTCCATCTTTTGAAGAAGCACCGGGAAAGTAGGAGTGAATTACCATCCATTGTCAAAAGGTCCCAGGAATCATGTAATCTGCTGACTTCAGACACCTGGGTATCCAAGGGCCATGGGTCTGTTGACCATCTTCCGGAGGAATTCATTAAGCCCAGCTTCCGTGAGCTGTTGGAACAGCATTTAAAAAAGAGCTTCATACAACACCAGGGGAAATGGTCCTGCAAGGTCCAGAGACAGCTGGACCTAATGAAGTGTCAGGAGAGTCTTCCAGGGATGAGTCAGGCAGAAGTTCATCATGGGACCCCATGTCCCTCGTCATTGGCAGATGAAGGCAGCCAGCATCCACAGAATGTCCCACCAAAGGATCCAGAGACGTTCCATCCATGGCGGGATCCAGGCAAGTGTTTGACAAACTTCCTGGGAAGAGCTGGGAAAGATCTACACAGGAGGCCAGAAGGTCCCCTAGACAAAGTTCCTCAGGAAACCTCAGAGACTGAGGAGGAAACTTACCACATGAGACCCCCAAGAAGAGATGCACCGAGTGTTTCCCCAGTGGACAGAGGAAAGGAGCAGCTAGCAGGAATCCTGAAAAACTACCAAAGTAGTAAATGTAGACATACCAAAGTCCGTGAAGTGCCCGTGGCCATTTGTGAAGGAGTAAGTATTGACCATGCATTGGCCCCTCCTGACAATTCAAACACAAACATGAGATCTTGGGAGAAATCACCCTTGAATGATGTGACCATCTGCAAGAATACTAACGGGCCTTCCTTCCTAGACGCCAGCACTCAGAAGGTGCTGGAAACACATCTTACAAGACGCCTGGTGAAGCACAGATGGAGCCTGTCCCTCAGAGGCCTCAAGACCATACATGTTTTCAATGCAAACAAGGCTTCAGCTTTGCCGTCTGATGTCTCCTTGTCCTCCTGGGACTCTAGAGAAGCTGGCACTGACAAAACAGCCAGTGACCTGGGAGAACCTTTTCAGAAAGCCCCAGAGGAGAAAGTGATGAAAATACCCAACACTGTGGAATCACTTTCCACACAGATCCCTCCTTCTGCCCTCCAGCTTGAATTGCTGAGAAAGCCTCTACTTAGTGACAACAAATCTGCCCAGGAGGGCAATCTGACTTCTATATCCTCCCCTCAGAGTCTCGTGGGCAGAGCCTGGCACAGGGATAGAGTTCATGGACATTGGACAGACAAGCCAGAGTCCACTCCAGGCCCAGTCAAGAGTGTGCATGAGTCACAGGAGAGTGGGGATGCGTCTTTTAGAGAAATGTGTGAAGGAGTATTAGTTCGGGAGATCAGTGTGACATCCCAGTCACCAAGTGGTGTGGATATCAGGCATCTGGAAGAGGCAGAAGAGGAAGAGTCCTCTGACTGGGCACTAACCAGGAAAGTTGGGGAGATGGCAAAGTCTCCAACCCACAGTGAATCATGGGAGGCCAGTGAAAGTCCATCCCCTTCCACACCCATTTCACAGGGTCCAGAAGACTCAGGCCTGAGCACACCTCACTGCCTGGCCCCTGGTGTTGTCCTCCAGGACTGTGCCACTGGAACATTCCTTCAAGACTGTGCCCCAGAGGTTTTGCTTGCTGCAGATATCCTGGCCTCCCGGGCCTCCCGGGCCTCCCGGGCCTCCAAGTCTAGATTCAAGACTCAGTCCCCTCCAAGTCCGTCAACCTCTCAGGACAGACACCGCTTCTTTCCAAGGGAAGAGAGTCTCACCAAGATTACTGAACTCCAGGAACCATGGACTACTCATATCTTTGGTCCTAATAACAAAAAGGACAATGGAAGTCCCCGGCAGGATATACAACATTCAGGGACAATACCTGTAAAAGGTTATCTGTCAAATAACCATGAAAAAAAGTTTGGAGAAAAGATAAAAAACTTCATTGTTTCAATTTTGAACCCCAAAGACAAAGGACAGGAGAACTTACCGCAAAAAGTCAAGGTCTTATCTGGCACCACCCAAAATCGAGGGTCAGGCCTGAGTAGGTTGTTCATGCCCCACCAAGTCACGGAAGCTCAGGACCGCATGACCTCTGCTGGGTGGACTCCAGAGCAGAAACCGGGGGTTCACCATAGGTGTGCTCCCTCAAAGAAAAATGCACAGCAAAACCCACCCGAAGCTCCAGTGAGCAGGCATGTCTGCCGCCACAGGATTCCTACTGCACAATCAAAAACAGCACAAGGAAACACTGCCTGTGTTCATCAAGCCAACCCCAAGGTTCACAGTCAACCTTCCACAAATGGAATGCCCTGTGCTAACAAGTGGGCCCAGGTGTCCACAGAACCTGTGTCCCGAGCCAGTTACTATCAGCACAGGGCACAGGCGCCACTTGTCCCAGGGGCCCCCATCCACTGTCCTAGGCATTGCCGCTGTAGGAGTGTACTCTCTGGAAATGTGAGTGCTTTTCCATATTGGAAGTAATTAAAATATTAGCCACTATGTCTTCTGTGTGTGTTTAATTTGGAGTTCGTTTAACTAGTACTAGGTAACAAGAGATGTATGTCTGGCTCATATTATTACTGCTTCTGGAGGATGTTGCTCCTCAAAGAGGGGACAGTGACATTTTACATGTCACCACCTTCTAGCTCCATCTTTGTACTCAGTATTAATAATACTATAGTTATGGAAACAGAAACCTTTAGGATCTGTTGGGTTGGGTAGGCATGTGCTAAGTCAATCCTGTAGCACCCAAACAAACAGGAAGTCTATAGGATTAGGGGGTGCTAAGACAACTCTGTAAGACCCCACCCTAAGGGCCAGCTCACCTGGTCTTTCTCCTGATTTGCTGTATCCTGACCATTGTGCCAGCATTACTTCCCAGTGAGAGGACACCTGAGAAGGGTTGAGGAATACACTGTGTCTCACAGCAAGTCATTCTAGGCCTCCAGCACTTGTCTACCCTTGAGACCAGCACAACAGGCCATCTCACAGGGCTGGTTCACACAGCGGAAGGGGCTTGTCAAAGTGCAGGTTCTCTTTGGATCTCTGGGCAGGCCCAAAAGTGTCCCTTGATGAATCTCACTCAGCTTCCTCCCCAGGTCTCCTTGCCCCAGTCTCTGTTCTCTTAGGAAACAGGTGGGGCTCACTGCATACAAGAGCAGCCAATTCCCAGGGTGCCCTGCAACTTCCTCACAGAAGGTAGCCACTTAATAGTTCCAACAGCATCACTTAATCCCTGGTAGAAAACTTTGTTCCAGAAAGTCCTACCAATTTATAGGGCATGGTCATGCAGCCTGTTCTAGCCAATTCCTGAGACTCCACAGTGAACTGAGCAGCTCTTTAGGAGTGGATATGGAACACACAGAAGAGGCCTGTGTATCAGTGACAGCAGCCTCCGCAATAGTCCCAGAGTGAAGCCAGGACCTTGTGACTGGCTCTACCCAGTCTTCTCAGGAACCTAAGAGTCACATTTGTGTCCTCTGGGGACTTTGGAGTTGGTCCCAAGAGTCCTCTGAGTACAAATTGTAAAGTCTGTGTGCCAACAAACCAGGCAGCAAAACAATGGGGCTGCCACTGTTCACGCTGTCAAGTATAAAAGACATGTCATGGGCCAACAGTAACTCTCCATGATAGACACCCAAAGAGATCTCTACAGAATTCCTGATACAGATCCACACCGAGAAACATCCCAGAAGTGCAGAAACAACTACCAGAGAGCTTCATGATCAAAACACAAAGATCCCCAAACATCTCCATAGAGACTCCCCAGGGTACCCCACAGGAGGAGGTTGTTGCAGACTCCATGGCAGAAATCCACAGAGAGAAACCTCCAAAATCCTTTCCAGACATCCAATCAAATACTTTTACAAACCCCCCAACACAGAAACCAAACACAATTTTCACGTCCCTGACAGATCCCCAGAGGAGCACTTAGCACTCCACACAGAACTCCCCCCATAGTCCTCTAAGAAGACCCTCATAGAGTAACATCACCCACACACTTTCAGAAATACACAGAAATAACCCCACAGAGATCCAACGATACAGAATGCATATTCAGCAAAATCATAAAAGTAAACTTCTCCAACCTAAAGTTGCATATGCCTAAGAAAGTTAAAGAAGCTTACAGAACACCAAATAGACTGGACCACAAAAAGAAGTCCCCTCACCACATAATAATCAAAACCCCAAACATACAGAATAAAGAATATTAACAGCAAAAGAAAAAGGCCAAGTAACATAAGGGCAGACCTATCATAATTACAGCAGACTTCTCAATGGAAACTGATAGTTGTTCTACAAACAATAATGGAGCATGGATGCCATCCCAGACTACTATACCCAGAAAAGCTTTCAATCGCTATAGATGGAGAAAATGAGGTATTTCATGACAAAACCAAATTTAAATAATACATACCCACAAATCCAGTTTTACAAAAATTACTGCAAGGAAAATTCCAACCCAAGGAAGATAGCCACACTAACAAAAACACAGGCAATAGATAATCCCACTTTACCAAACACCAAAAGAGAAAAAGGGGTTAGGGAATCCCCACACTTGATCACCACTACCACCAAATCCAAAACAAACAAATTAACAATGTTCATTAATATCCTTCAATATCAATGGTTGTAAGTCATCTATAAAAAAGACACAGGCTAACCAAATGGATACAAAGACATAATTCATCCTTCTGCTGCATACTAGAAACACACCTCAACTTTAAAGACAGACGTTACCTCAGAGTAAAGTGTTGGGAAAACCTTTTCCAATCACATGGACCCAAGAAACAAGCTGGTGGAGCACTCCTAATATCTAACAAATTAGACTTTAAACTAAAATCAATCAAAAGAGATGAAGAAGGTAATTTCATATTCATCACAGGAAAAGTCCATCAAGGTGACATCTATGCCCCAAATGCAAAGCACCCACATTTGTAAAAGAAATATTACTAAAGCTCATATCACACATAAAATCTCACACACTTATATCCACTCTCACCACTAAACAGGACCAGAGCACATAGTCAGCAACAAAGGAAACCTCAACAGATACAAAATTTAGAATAACCCCCTGTATCCTATCATATCACCATTGTTTAAAGTTAGAATTCTACAACAATACAAATTTCAGTAACCCTACAGACTCATGGAAATTGAACAATGTGCAATTGCATCATTCCTAGGTCAAGGAAGTAATAAAAAATGAAATTAAAAACTTCCTAGAATTCAACGACAGTGAGTGCACAACATACCCAAAACTTATGAGACACTTTGAAGGAAGTGCTAAGAAGAAAGTTCATAGCACTAAATGCCCACATAAACTGGAGAATAGTCACACTAGAGAATTAACAGCACAACTGAAAGCCCTAGAACAAAAAGAAGCAAACTCACCCCGGAGGAGTAGATGCTAGGAAATAATCAAATTGAGGGCTAAAATCAATAAAGTAGAAACAAAGAAAACAATACAAAGAATCAAGGAAACAAAGAATTGGTTCTAGGGGAAAATCAAGATAGATAAAAATTTTATCCAAACTAACCAAAAGGCAGAGAGATAGCATGGTAATTAACAAAATCAGAAATAAAAAGGGGGACATAACAATGGGCACCGAGGAAATTCAAAGAATCATCAGGTCATTCTTTGAAAACCTGTACTCCACAAATTCAAAAAAATTTAGGAAATGGACAATTTTCTGAATAGATATCACTTACCAAAATTAAATAAAAAACAGATAAGCAAATTAAATATACCTATTACCCCAAATGAAATGGTTGCAGTCATCAGAAATCTCTCAATGAAAAAAAACACTCAGGGCCAGATGATTTCAGTGCAGAAATCTTCCAGAAATTCAAAGAACTAATAGCAGTACTCCTCAAAGTGTTCCACTCAACAGAAGTAGAAGAGACATTGCCAAACTCTTCTTATAAGGTTATAAGTACCTAGGTAGCCAAGCCACACAAAGACACAACTAAAAAAGAGAACTACAGACCAATATCCCTCATGGACATTGATGCAAAAATACTCAATAAAATACTAGCAAATCGAATCCAAGAACACATTAAAAAATCATCCACCATGATCAAGCAGGCTTCATCCCAGGGATGCAGGGATGGTTCAATATATGAAAATCTATAATGTAATCCACCATATATACAAACTGAAAAAGACAAACCACATGATCATCTCACTAGATGCTGAAAAATTCTTTGACAAAATCCAACAACCCTTCAAGATAAAGGTCTTGGAACATGAGGAATAACAGGAACATACCTATACATGATAAAGGCAATGTACAGCAAGTGAACAACCATCAAACTAAATGGAGAGAAACAATGCAATTCCTCTAAAATCAGGAACAAGACAAGGCTGCCCACTCTCTCCATATCTCTTCAATATTATACTTGAAGTTCTAGCTAGAGCAATAAGATGAAAAAAGAAATCAAATTATAAAGGAAGAAGTCAAACTTTCACTACTTGCAGGTGACATGATAGTTTACCTAAGTGACCCAAAAAACTCTACCAAGGAACTCCTACAGCTGATAAACACCTTCATAAAAGTGGCAGGATACAAGATTAACTCAAAATATCAGTAGCCCTAATTCATACAGATGATAAATGGGCTGAGAAACAAATCAGAGAAACATCACCTTTACAATAGCCACAAAGAGCATAAAATATCTTGGGGTAGCGCTAACCAAGTGAAAGACCGGTATATCAAGAACTTCCTGTCTTTTTTTTCTCTTCCCTTTTTTTTAAAATTTAAGTTAGAAACAAGTTTGTTTCTCATGTCAATCCCAGCTCCCTCTCCCTCCTCTCTTCCCCATCCCTCCCCACCAGACCTCCCCAGTCCCCCACCCAATCTCTACTCCAATCCCCAGGGAGGGTGAGGCCCTTCATGGGGGATATCCAGAGTCTCTCATGTCATCCAGGGTAGGGTCTAGGCCCTCCTTCAAGAGTCCAGCCTGAGAGAGCATCCCTCATTGTGGGATGGGCACTCAAAATCTATTTGTATGCCAGGGATCAATACTACCCAAGGCCCCATAGATTACCTAGGCCCCCTCATTGACACATTCAGGGGGTCTTGGTCAGTCCCACGATTTCCACACAGCCATCAACCTGGGGTTCAAGAACTCCACCTTGTTCAGATCAACTGTTTCTGTGGGTTAAATAAGCCCAGTCTTAACTCCTTTTCCCATCAGCTCTCCCTTTCTGACACTGGATTCCAGGAGTTCAGTTCAGTATTTGTCTGTGGGTATCTGCCTCTGCTTTCATCAGTCGCTGGATTCTGTTTCCCAGACTCTCTGGCAGTGGGACTGTATGCTGGCACTCCCCTGATTCATGTCTAAAATCCATAAATGAGTGAGTACATACCATGTTTCTCTTTTTGTGGCTGTGTTACCTCACTCAGGATGGTTTCTTCTCGTGCCATCCATTAGCCTGCAAATTTCAAGATTCCATTGTTTTTTTCCCCGCTGAATAG